TGTATGTATGTATGTATGTATGTATGTATGTATATATTGTAACGTGGTAGATTTTTATTCAACGCAAAATACTTGGATTATATTAATCTTCCAGGCTCGAATCCAACGTCGTGAATGTTATGTGTGAATGAATGAAAATTTTACTAATTTTTATGAATTTATTTTGTGTGAAATACATAACGCTGGACGAGTAACGGAGACAGAGCGAGTCACAGTGAGTAGAAGGCTGCACATTGGAGCGACAAGAATGGAGCTACGACGTACCGAAGCAAGTACTGAAGCGAGCGAGGCACCGAGCGGCGTAAACACCCGAGAGGTCTGAGGACAATCGACGCTGCACTGCCGCATTTTTCCAATACGACGATCAACATCGATAACAGTTGGTAAGTCAGTACTGCAGGAGCAGAGGTGACTAAAAACTGTCGTGAAGGACCGTTGACTGTTATACGGACCTAGATCAACTATCGACCGGGATCAATTCCAATGGAAATGAAGACTAGCGCCGCCAACTTCAATAAAGTAAGAAGTAGGTACTTCTCCATGAAGAAGACGATTCGAGGCTGGACTGTCGACGTACACGGACGCGCTTTTGCGCGCTCCGCAACCTAAAATTAATTTCGAAGTATTGTCGCGATTTGTTAATTTGAAATTAATAATAATTTATATTGAGTATTTATTTTTAAATTCTTAACTTCCCGCTAAAAATCTCAGATTTTCAAAAATCGGGAAGTTATTGTTTTCACCCCGTTTTACAAGAATCGAGTTTTCATCAGATCTCGACGTTTGAAGGTCACAGGAAGCTTCCCTGACTATTTTTACGATGATCTCCGTACGTCTGTATGTGTGTGTGTATGTGTGTGTGTGTGTGTTTTTTTTTTAGAGTCGCTACATATCAAAGCCAAACAACTATGCCTGGAATCCGCAAAAAGCATTTCCCACCTCCCCAAAAAAAAAAAAAAAAAGCAAACACACACACACTCACATACACACACACACATACATACAGACGTACGGACATCATCTTAAAAATAGTCAGGGAAGCTTCCTGTGACCTTCAAACGTCGAAATCTGATGAAAACTCGATTTTTGTAAAACGGGGTGAAAACAATATTTTCCCGATTTTTTTAAATCTGAGATTTTTAGCGGGAAGTTAAAAATTTATTTGAAAATTTTCAAAAATCGGGAAGTTATTGGTTTAACCCCGTTTTTCGAAAATCGAGTTTTGATCGGATCTCGACGTTTCGAGGTCCTAGGAAGCGTTCCTGACTATTTTCACGATGATGTCCGTACGTCTGTATGTATGAGTGTGTGT